AATCACCATTTTATAATTCAAATCGGGGGAAATAAATACAGTAAATGGACAAAAGTACAAAGATTCACAAAATGTTTCGGGGTATGCATCCCCCCAGAAAAGAAAGCACCGTTTTTATGGCTTTTCTTCTTAAAAGTTGAACAACTAATATGAAACAAAAGAAACGCTCCCTCTTCATAACTATGACACACCACCAAATGCAGCCGTTATATAGCACTTCAGAGAAAAGGGAGAATCCAGATGATCCAACACAAGAAAAGAAAAATAACAACACAATGTCAGAAATCAAAGCAGCCAAAAGATTTTATATGCTGTAGGAACCCACCTGTGGTTTGCCTGGTTCAAATGTGAAATAAAACAGTTCAGTTCCACCATAAATTTGTCCGTGGATGTATTTTGGATTCATCTTAATCTCTGGGTTTCCAAGAAGAATTCAATTTGGAGCCACCACAGTACTTTGGAGGTGGTAAAAATCCATTGGAAACTTGGTTGTTTGACAAAGCTATAAAAAAAAGACTATGAAGTACTCAGAGGAAATAAAAATGGAGTACATGATTGCCTCATGTATTTTTTTTATTTATTATTTTTTTGGATGATTTCCCCTAGATTTTTGTGTGGTTTATATCTCATCTTCCATTTACTGGAGACAGTTGCTGCTATCTTTGTCCAGCATGTGTCTCTTGATTTGTCGGTAGCATTTAAATCAACGGCACTGATGAGCTGAACTCTTGAATTGAAGTTGCTCCTTTTGGAACACCTGAGCAACCTGCTGTAACAAAAGCACCAAATATCTTAATTCATAGAATTGTAGAGATGGAAGTGTTCCCAAGAATCATCTAGCCCAACCTCCTGCGGTGGGGAGGAGTGTGAGGTGCTGTCTTTGCTGCAAAAGGTAACAGGCAGCTCAGAGCATCTGGGATTAGCTGAGGCTGTGCCATCAGCTCTGTGCATGCCCCAAATTACAAAGGCGAATTGAAGTGATTCGGAGCAGGTTCCTGCTTTTCTAAGCCAGATCTTGCCATTAGCAAGGCATCTCGAGGCAGATCAGGGACTTTAGCACTTTGGAGTGGCTCTGTGGCTTTAGATTTACCCAAAAATGCATGGCTGTCTTTGACCCTTTAAGAAGCAAAACCACAATTGGCCGAGGAAATGCTTAGAGGTCAGAGAGGCGGGAGGGATCTTGCATAGTTAGAGCAAGGTCTAACTTCCTTAATCGCTGCAAATTACTTTCCAATACCACTTCAACTGCTGCAATTAGGGGCAGGGATGTTGAAATGAACAAACCCAAGTTGTTCTTCCCATGGGTTCACATGTGACTTTCGCCAGTTTTGTACTAACCAGGGTTAAAATCACCTAGCACAATAGCTGCTGGCCTATTTGTCTGAAGTTTGGCAGGTTTCTCATCCAGGGTCCACCTCCCCTTATGTCTATGTTTCAAACTGATTGCCCACAAAGAACTAAGGGAGAGAACGAGATGCTTGCTAGGGCTGATGGGAGTTGTAGTTCAGCAAAAAGGGGAGGTCCAAAGCACAACCTGCTCCATTGGAACATCAGATCTCCCTGCAAAAGACTTTTGCTAGTGTGGCTGCATCCTCTGATAAACTTCAGGATGGGCTTTTGACGACAGGTGACTTGGCTTTCCTGTTTATTTTGCAAACTCACTTTTTCTATTTTGGTATAAATATTTTGCAGACACACTTCACTAAACATACTCTTTACTGTTTGAACAAGCTAGTCTTGGAGAGGCATCTTGTTTCCACCCAATGAGCAGGTCTCATCCCTCCTCCTGTTAAGGTTACCAGACGTCCCCGTTTCCCGGGGACAGTCCCTGGGTTTACAAACAAGTCCACATACAAAATCAATTGAAGTTGAAGAGTGTCCCCGGATTCATTGGAAAAAATCTGGTAACCTTATGTGAAGTGCCCGTTTCCTCTTCTTACAGATTGATGACCCATCTGTTTTCCCCCGATTTTTTTTTTTAAGAATAGGAAATAACAATCTTTGAAAAAGACAGTCCTTATAGACTTTTTTTTAAAAAAATCTTCATTGATTTGCACTTTGCTTTGTATATCCAAGGAGATACATATTAAAAAACAGAGAAAACAAACAACTCCCTATGAAAAGAAGAAAAGCTTTGTGATATCAAAAATGGAAACCACATCCCATACAGCTTAGAGAGACAAGCAGTAGTGGTGTTAGTAGTGATACATAAATCCAGTAGCCTCCTAAAAGGAAAGTCACTATTAAACCATATGTAATCAGAATCAGAATCACTGGAATTATTATTCATTTCAAATCCTTGTTTAATTTGATGGGAGGTGATTTCTATTGTTTTCCTTTTCTTTTATTAATGCAAGTAATAAATTCATGGCACACATTTAAGCATTTTCAGATATCGAAAGGCTTTTTAATATCCTAAGCAAAATGTGTCTTCCACACCACGAATAAGAGAAGACTCTTATCAGGTCTTCTCCTTGAAGTTGTCTCTCCACCCCCCTTAAAACTATCCCTCCAAGTTGCTCAAAGTGTCATCCATGATTCTCCCTGTTCTCCTTTTTATCCTCACAACAGCCCTGTAAGGTAGGTTGGGCTGAGAGACAGCCTGAGGTCACCCAGCTGAGTTTGGCCTAGAGTCATATAACTGTAGAGTTGGAAGGGACCCCAAGGGTCATATAATACACACACACACACACACACACACACACACACACACTGCAGTGCTGGAATCTTTGGCCCAACATGGGGCTCAAACTCAAAAAGTCTCATCTGGCTGCCCTTCAGATAAACTTGGAAAAGATATGCCTTCTATTTTCTGAACAAAAAGACAATAGAGGGATTGTCATCTGATAAGAATGCACATCATCGAAACTGTCTCTGAACAAGGCCTCCTTTCGGGTGATGGGCAGCAGAAGCCTGAATCTAAATTTAAGCCTTTTTTCCTCCCTCTTTTCATTTCAATCTGCCCCAGAGGAGTGAAAAAATGACACAGATTGGAGGGGGTGGGATGACCGAAGGCCTTGGCACAAAAGCGACGTGGCTTATTTATGAGAAAACAGTGAGTTGTCTTCCTGAAGCCCAAATTTTCTTGGAATTAAACCCGCAAAGCAGGACTGCTTTAATGGGCTACACACACGGCTGGCTTCCGCCCCCCCCCCCCCGCCCCATGGAAGGATTGATGGCTAGAAGATCATTGTCCTTGTTGCTGTGCAAAATACAGGAACTTGGAAGCCGACATTCCCTGCTGTTGGTGAAGAAACGAGCTGAGTAAACCAAGTGGAAGATGCAGTAGGGTGACGCTGTGGTCTAAACCACTGAGCCTCTTGGACTTGCCGATCAGAAGGTCGGTGGTTCGAATCCCCACAACGGAGTGAGCTCCCGTTGCTCCATCCCAGCTCCTGCCAATCTAGCAGTTCAAAAGCACACCAGTGCAAGTAGATAAACAGGTACCGCTGCAGTGGGAAGGTAAACGGCGTTTCCATGCGCTGCTCTGGTTCGCCAGAAGTGGCTTAGTCATGCTGGCCACATGTCCCGGAAAGCTGTCTGTGGACAAACACCGGCTCCCTCGGCCTGAAAGCTAGATGAGCGCCACAACCCCATAGTAGCCTTTGAGTGGACTTAACCAACCAGGGGTCCTTTCCCTTTCCCTTTACCACCCTCTACTTTGAAGGGCTGTCAGAGGACTGCCTTTACTTTGAGTGTGTCCTCTTGTTTGAAGAGCTCTCCATAGAGAAAGGACTCTAAGAAAGGAGAACAAGAAGGGCTAAGAAATTGCCCATCAGCACGTAGCACCTAGGGAGCAGACTGAGCAGGTCAGTGGCAGCTCACAGTCTTCCCCAATAAGGAGAGATGTACAGTGGTACCTCTGGTTACGTACTTAATTTGTTCCGGAGGTCCGTTCTTAACCTGAAACTGTTCTTAACCTGAGGTACCACTTTAGCTAATGGGGCCTCCTGCTGCTGCCACGCTGCCAGAGCATGATTTCTGTTCTCATCCTGAAGCAAAGATCTTAACCTGAGGTACTATTTCTGGGTTAGCGGTGTCTGTAACCTGAAACGTATGTAACCTGAAGTGTATGTAACCCGAGGTACCACTGTATTGTTTTGGGCATCACATGACAAGGTAGAGTCCCCAACAAAGATGTGCTTTCCCAAGCCCTCATTCCTCGCGTGTTCGCACTCCTGTCTCAGCGACATCTATGCTGCCTTGGTCATGTCCACAGAATGGAAGATGGCAAGATCTCCAAGGATGTGCTTTACAGATAGCTGGCTTCAAGCACCAGGCCCCTTGGCAGACCAACTCTGCGTTACAAAGATGTCTGCAGACGTGACACGAAGGCTGGCAACATCAACCCCGTCGTGTGGGAATCCCTTGCAGACGGCTGCAGTGCCTGGAGACAGGCAGTCAACTCATGTATCCATAGCAGTGAGCAGAGGAGGAATGATGGCTACGAGGAGCGCCGAGACAAAAACACCAAGGTGCATCTGCAGCGGCACAACCAGACGCCTTCATCTGCCCCAGCTGCAAGAAAGCAGCAACAGGAAGTTCCTGACTCCACCCAATGCAGCTAAGTCCAGTGCCACCTAGTGACTAAACTATATAATGTCATTATCCACACAAATTAAAGAAATTGGAGTTGATTAATTGCACAAGTTTTTCGTTGATTAATTATTTTAAATTTGCACACAGGCAAATGAGCAAAGCATGAAACATATTTTTTAAAATATATATAATACATTATGTGTTATAACAGCCAACTTAGAAGAGGCATTCTCTGCTATATGAGAGAAGGGGTAATTCCTTTTTAATATGGTCATTACCATCTGTAGTTTTTTTATAAGTAGCTGCATTAAAAACAACTTTTTAATGTGAAATCTGCTGCCTTAATTAAATTGGTGTACTATTTTAATCAGTTAAAGCTTCTTTAAGACTGCACACTTATTCCCACTAAGAAAGCCTCACTGAATTCCACGACACTTGCTTCTGAGTAAATACACACAGTATATTGGCTGATATAACTTTTAATGATTATTTGCCCATAGCCTTGCAACAAAGTTAATTTACATTTAATAGCCACGTGTGTGTATTTTATGTTTTTAGACAAATGGAATCATGGTTTCAATCACTAGTTTGCTTTTAAGTATATCTCCAGGATGATGTGAATAATTTTAACAGGGCTCCTGTCTCTTTAATTGCTAAAACCCCATCTGCTCCAAGGCACACCTGTCCACCTGTGCCAAAGTGAATGAATCATGATGCATTTCAGAAGACATGCTGGGCTACATCTGCAGACTGATGCTGCTGGAAATAGTTTTGATAGCAGTTCTTAGCCTTTTGCTCTGCAAGAGAAGTGCAACGGTTATACTCCTGTGGCTATGAAACCTAAATGTAAAACTTGCTCCGCTCCTATTTATTTTATAGCAACCTGAAACCAGCACATCGAGCTCTCCAAGCTGCAGAGATAAGTGTTATGACTTGCTAGCATCTGATGATCAAGCTGCTCCTCTAAAGGCCCAATAATTAAGTTATTTTCAGGTGGGATTTACTCACATACCTGAAAATTCAGGTTGTGCAATTATAGTCAGTTGGGTGGTCTTGCACTACTCCTGTTTCCCCAAAATATCAGACATTTTGTGACCTGGAAAGTGACAGGAATATGCAGTGGAAACTGTGGGATAACACTTGGGGTTTGACACAGTGTCATCTAACCTCCCCAAAAGCAAATCAGAATAAATTACAATTAAATAGCCAACACCATCTAATCTCCCTGCAAACGGATCAAGAAACAGGTTGTCTGGAAAGCACCCTGGATGTCCCTATAAGAACATAAGAACCCTATAAGAAGCTTGTATTGATCTTATAGGGACATCTTCCTGAAACCAAACTTTGGTTCAGACAATAAATGGGTCATAGAATCATAAAATCATAGAGTTGGAAGAGACCACAAGGGCCATCGAGTCCAACCCCCTGCCAAGCAGGAAACACCATCAGAGCACTCCTGACATATGGTTGTCAAGCGTCTGCTCCTTCCATACAGCACCCTGAAACCCAGAAAATAAATCTAAAAAGGACACAGTGAACACATCTTCTAAACAGCCACCAGGAAGGCTACTTCAATCCAAGCAGCAATTCTGAATGTCCCTTCTGCGCTAGAAGTTAAACTAACTCTTGTTCCTACAACAGAGTGAGCTTTTCATGCCGCTGGTGTGTTTCTTTAAAGGTCAAGAGATCTCCAAATACTTGTCTCTTTTCCTTCTTGGTCTGACCTAATTTCCTCTCTACTTGACTGGCAGACTCAACAAAGAGGAAGAGTCATTTCCTTTCCAATCACTGGTGGCGCGGTATTTTGTTTCATCACTGAAAGTGCTGAATTTTCCACCTCCACTGCAAAAGCCCTTTGAGCACAGGTAGGCAAGCTAAGGCCCGGGAGCTGGATCCGGCCCAATCGCCTTCTAAATCCAGCCCGCAGATGGTCCGGGAATCAGTGTGTTTTTACATGAGTAGAATGTGTCCTTTTATTTAAAATGCACCTCTGGGTTATTTGTGGGGCATAGGAATTTGTTCTTTCCCCCCCAAAAAAAATACAGTCCGGCCCCCCACATAGTCTGAGGGACAGTGGACTGGCCCGCTGCTGAAAAAGTTTGCTGACCCCTGCCTTGGAACTTTCCAGGCAGGCGTGCTCGTAAGTTTCTTAGCTGGTATCCCAAAAGGTAATAGGAAAAAGGTGAAACTATATTTGTTTCACCAGGTGCTGGTAGGTCACTGAGATGGTACCCGACTGCCCTATGAAGACATCAGACATCTAGACATGCTTGGGTTATAACTCCCACTATCCCTGACCATTGGCAATGTTGGCTGGAGGCGATGGGGATTGTAGTTCACAGGTCTCCAACCCCGGATTTAATTTGTGTCCTGCTAAATATATGACCTACCTCTCTGATATCCCAGTCTAGATGCAACGCTGCTTGAAATTTATGGCCCAAAGTCGAAAGAAAGTTAGTTATGCTAAAGCAGGCATCCCCAAACTCAGCCCTCCGGATGGTTTGGGTCTACAACTCCCATTATCCCTAGCTAACAGGACCAGTGGTCAGGGATAATGGGAATTGTAGTCCCAAAACATCTGGAGGGCCGAGTTTGGAGATGCCTGTGCTAAAGTCACTCCAAAATTGGTTACAACCAACTGGCCCTGTGGAACTTAAGTGTGGCTTATTTTTCTCTGGATTGTGGCCTGCAATGTCAAGTAACCTTGTGAAATCATCACAATTCTTTTTCACATTCTTGTTGTGGGTTGGGGTGGGGTTTGTGACTAGCTGGGGCTGCCACCTTTGGTCAGGCAAAATAAAAGACAGGTTGGCGGGGTGAGGACTGGAGGACACACACACTCCCATGACACCATGGGAGGGGGGTTCCCCACATTGAGCCTCTCACCACCCCAGCCCCACTTTACCCCTCGACTCACATAGATGGGCAGGGGCCAGGGGTAGACGGCCAGTTCTCATGGGCAAGTTGAGCTGCTGCTCCAGCCTCTTGCCGATGCTGGTGGTGAAAGAGACTTGAGCATGGACAAAGAAGAGGGAGGAGGAGATGTCAGATCGGGGCAGCAGAGGGGGCAAAGCGGCGCTGGGCCTGCGCCATCCTAGCCTGGCAGGTAGCAGCTGCGGAGGAACACCAGTGAGAGGGGAGGAAAGAGGGAGAGGAGGTCTGTGTTGTCGCTCAACGCTGGTCCAAGCTCCTCATCAGCCGCACCAACAGCAACGCAACCAGGCAGAGGGCCTTCTTGGTAGTGGCACCCACCCTGTGGAATGCTCTCCCATCAGATGTCAAGGAAATCATCAACCACCTGACTTTTAGACAACATCGGAAGGCAGCCCAGTTTAGGGAAGTTTTTAATGTTTGATGTGTTTATCGTGTTTTCAATATTCTATTGGGAGCCACCCAGAGTGACTGGGGAAACCCAGCCAGATTGGTGGGGTATAAATAATAAATTATTATTATTATTATTATTATTATTACAGCCATTTTGGGCTGCCTGAGCTTGAATATGGGAAGAAAGGCATCCCGTTTGAAGTCTAAATGGGACCGGGAACACTTTTGTCCCAAAACGGGACGATCCCATTTTTCTAGGGACAGGTGGTAACCCTAGATTCAGGTAGGTAGCCGTGTTGGTCTGACGCAGTAGAAATATATAAAAAAATTGTCCAGTAGCACCTTAGAGACCAACTAAGTTTGTTCCTGGTATGAGCTTGCATACGAAAGCTCATACCAGGAACAAACTTAGTTGGTCTCTAAGGTGCTACTGGACAATTATTTATTATTTTTTATATATATTTCGGGTGGCAACCCTTATGACTCTTATGACCTCAAGATCCCACACAACTCTGTATATCTATTCTTGTAAGAGTTTGAGCTGGGCAAAGGGAAGACAATCTGGGCAAGTATGGTCTAAGGTAGCCACTGACACATTGCCAATAAAGTGGAAATGCATCACTGAAAAAAAGACAAGGGGACATTGGTTACATAACAGTTGCGCATGCTGAGTTATATGTCCACATGCAACCTTGTATTGTAATATTACATGCCGTTAGAGTGGAGGAAGCTGTGACCTGGTGAGCTGTGTGGCTGCTCAGCTGGTGTCCAGTTGTGGTAATAGTTGATGTGCAGCGTAAAGGCCTCTGCTCTCCCTTTGCACTATTCTTCATCTTTAAATGGGGCTTGGACCCACCAGCCCTTCAAATGGAGAACTGGCAACCCTTCAAACAGAGGACTGTAAAGTAAGATACATGACTAACCTAGTCTGGCCTGTTCCATTTCTTTCTTAGGCAAAGGCCAGTGATACGTTGCCATGGGAACCAATAGGGCCTATGAAACCCTAGTTGGTAGACAGGGCCTTGGAAACATCTTAGGGTACTGGCTGCCTCCTCAGAGATTGATGCGAGGGAAATGGACTTTGGATGCCTGTTGGCGTGTTCCAGCTGTTATGATTAATTAGAGGAATCTTAATTTTATATAGCTAGATCCTAGAAAGTTGGGTATGGATGAAAACCCCCATTCAGTTGGCAGGAGAATGCTGATTCCCTCCCCACCTTCTGCATTTGCCTGCCAAAACGAAGGATCGGTTTCATGAAAGCATAAATCTCATTTTCCTGCTTTGTGTGTGTTGAACTTATTCCCAGTCATGGAAAAGATGTGGCTTCTTGTAACCCCAGCTGGTGTTTTATTTTTAAAGTGGTGCATTGATTTTTTATTTTTTGTTTTTTGTTTCATTGTGGTTTTAATTTGGTGCTGTTGTGTTTTGAGTATGTCTCGAACGTGCCTTATGTCTTTAGTAAGATGCTTTGAGATCAGATAAATAAAAAAATATCTTAACCAGCCAAATCTGTGCTTGATTGCAATCTCCAAAAACTGTTTGTAAGTTGCGATTCATCTCAAGCATGTGTAATTATTTGTTTTGTTCCTCAGTAATAATGATCATAATGTAGCACGCTACCCCAATCCCTGACTGATGCTGTAGGTACGTGGGTCCTAGACCGCATAGGGCTTTAAATGTCAAAACCAGCACCTTAAATCTGACCCTGTACTCCACCGGGAGCCAGTGTAGTTGGTAAAGCACTGGATGAATGTGATCCCGCGGCAAGGACCGCGTAAGGAGCCTCGCCGCGGCATTCTGCACCTGCTGGAGTTTCTGGGTCAGCTTCAAGGACAGCCCAGCTTCAAGAGTGAGTTACAATAATCAAGTCTGGAGGTGACCATCACATGGATCACTGTGGCCAGATCAGGGTGAGAAAGGTAAGGGACCAACTGGTTAATACGGCAGAAGGAGCCATATTAAGCCATTTACAGAAGGAGCTCATGCTCATTCCTTCTTTCCTACCCTATGTAATTCAGGGTGGTCCTCTGACTCCACAGAGTGAATAAAAGTTTGTGGGGCTTCTTTGTTGTAGCAATTAGCAAGCCTCCAGCCAATGAACAATACAACCATTGTGTCCTCATTTGGGAGTCAAACTTGACAGTGACTCATCTCCCTCTTCTTAATTGGGTGCATTTGCCAAGGAATGTAGCTCTTCATCTGCCTCAGCGCGACATTTGGGCAGGTCTCTCACAGATCCGTAATTAAAGACATTGCAGGAATAAAAGCCGCGCTTCATGCATCAAAATCATTTACATGTGTTTATGTTCTTAGACATGCATGAGTTTCGTTTTCATGTTGCTCCACACAGGACAAACAGTTCTCATGCGAAGGTTGATGATGAGCCTGATGAGTTTTGAATAACTCCTTGAACCGGCTGCCGATGTCTGATGGCCTCAGATAACGCAGCTGCTAAATGAACGCTTGCATTTTGCTTTGTTGGGCGCCTTAACCTTAACCAGAGAGTTTTCCAAGAAAATTCCTATGAATAGTAGCAGGCCAAGCTCCAAGGGTGCATGAACAGAAGAAGATTCCTGTGGCCTCGTTCATACACATAACTGGCAGCGTAGGAGGCACGGCTGCGGAAAGGGAGTCAAGATGCAATCCCGCAGGGGGCAGGGATTGCTCATTCTTACAATGCACTGCCTCATGTGTTGACTGCCATTCCCATGTGCAGCCCAGGATTCTCCACAGCTGCTGTGGAGATGGGAGGGTGGATCTGAGTGGGCTGTGCCACAGTGGGCCACATCTGCCACGTTGTACGCTTGAAGTGCTCTTCACACTGCTTTTAACAGTCATCAATAACAGATTGATGTTGAATCTTGACAAGACAGAAGTACTGTTTTGGGGGGACAGGAGGTGGGCGGGTGTGGAGGACTCCCTGGTTCTGAATGGGGTAACTGTGCCCCTGAAGGACCAGGTGCGCAGCCTGGGAGTCACTTTGGACTCACAGCTGTCCATGGAGGCACAGGTGAATTCTGTGTCCAGGGCAGCTGTTTACCAGCTCCATCTGGTACGCAGGCTGAGACCCTACCTGCCCACAGACTGCCTCGCCATAGTAGTGCATGCTCTAGTTATCACCAGCTTGGACTACTGCAATGCACTATATGTGGGGCTACCTTTGAAGGTGACCTGGAAACTACAAGTAATCCAGAATGCGGTAGCTAGACTGGTGACTGGGAGCGGCCGCCGAGACCACATAACACCGGTCTTGAAAGACCTACATTGGCTCCCAGTACGTTTCCAAGCACAATTCAGAGTGTTGGTGTTGACCTTTAAAGCCCTAAATGGCCTTGGTCCAGTATATCTGAAGGAGAGTTTCCACCCCCATCGTTCTGCCTGGACACTGAGGTCCAGTGCCAAGGGCCTTCTGGTGGTTCCCTCACTGCGAGAAGCCGAATTACAGGGAACCAGGCAGAGGGCCTTCTCGGTAGTGGCACCCGCCCTGTGGAATGCTCTCCCTCCAGAGGTCAAAGAGAACAACAACAAACTTTTAGAAGACATCTGAAGGCAGCCCTGTTTAGGGAAGCTTTTAAAGTCTGATGTATTACTGTATTTTAATATTTGGTTGGAAGCCGCCCAGAGTGGCTGGGGAAGCCCAGCCAGATGGGCGGGGTATAAATAATATATTATTATTATTATTATTATTATTATTATTATTATTATTATTATTATTATTACTATTATCCCAGCTTCCCCCAGTGGCGTAGTGTTTGAGGGGTCACAGGGGTGGTTGCCCTGGGCACACTTTGTTGGGGACACAAAATGTCAGCACCTGGTGCTGCCTCAATACAGCTGCACACTTCCGTTGCTGAGCTCTGTTAAAAATGCCTTCTCCATGCAAACCAGGGAGTGACCTCTTCAGACACTCCAGAGTGACTCTTCTTTTCTTATCTCTGTGGCTGCAATTTCCTGGGTGACATGGACGCCATTGGGCCGTTGAATGCACATGTGTACTCTGTCCGTTCCCCTCTCCCCCACCCTCCTCTGGGTGGCCCCCGGAAGCTGGCAACCCTGGGAACCGTAGTTTGCTAAGTGTGCTGAGAACTGTTGATTGATTCCCTCACAGAGCTCGAATTTTACGCTGTTTAAGTTGGTGGGCACTGCTGCTTCTTCGAGAGTGTAACTGTGCTGTGTGAAGAGAAACATGCTTCCTTTCATCTCCCCTGAATCTGCCAACTTCATTGGATGACCCCAGGCTGTAGTATTACGAGAGAGGGAGAAAAATGTCTCTCTGGTCACTTTCTAAACATCATGCATAATTTTATACACCTCAACTGTTAAGTTGTGGGTGAACATATCAGACGACACAGCGATTCTTCAGACAGCTCTTGTTTATTCACAGGCCAGAACAGAACTGAACTGAAGGGTTCAGCCAACCTGCTTATATAGAGCTCCACTACAAAGCAACAGTAACAACTTTCTGTAACTATCCAATCACTGAACGTCACTTTCAATTCCTTATTTGCATATGCGGACCTGAGTGAAAACTATCTACAGTATCCTCCTGCTAACCCAGGGTGAGAACTTCAGTACATAACATCAACCACAATTTTATACACCTTACTTATCTCCACTGTCCCACCCCCACAACTAAAATATCTCAAATGCTGTCATGTTTCCTCATACCTAGAGTTGCTCCAGCCTCTTGATCATTTTGGTCAGTCAAGAGCTCGGGGAAAAGAGAAAGTGGGTTTTGGGTTTTTTTGTTCAAATCTGGGGCCTTTGTCTCAAAGGAATTATTAGGGTACTAGACGTGAGGAAGAGAATGATTTAATTTGCCAAAGGTGACATGGGAAGGAGGTGAGCCATGTTACAGAGGACTGTCCTCTATTAGAAAGTGCCCTTTATTCTAAAGGAGTCAAGGTTCTGGAAGATGCAAGCAATTTTATCCTCAAAATGCTTTGCAAACAAGTCACAGAGAGTTACCATCGGTTCTGTCAATAATCGCACATACATTGTATGAGAATCAGTCTCCTCTCCTTTTTGGTGACGTGTTTCCTCTTTGGGGGCAATGCAAAAGTGACCACCACCTAACTAGAAGTCTATTTCATCATTTCGGAAGGGCACAGTGGGTGGTGGGTTTTCCTACCCTTTAGGAAGGGGAGAGGGAGTGTCCCTGATCCCTTCTGTCGTGTTTCGAATCCCATGCAAGCAAGCTTGAGGAGAAGCAAGATAGAGATAGGTTTTCCTGCTGGTTCTGCAGCTCCAGAGAGAGACAGTGTCATCTCTCTCACACTTGCCATTGCACCCCGGTGGGATGTGAAATTGAGTAAAGTTAGCCATCAATATGGGCATTTTTTAAATGTAAGTAATTTTATTGGGCACAAGTGACTGTGATCAGGACAGAATGGGTTTCTTTCTGCGCATCCCCCACAGATGGCAGAGGTGACACTGCTGATTAAGACAAGAGATCCAGCCAGGCAGAAAAGCCGTGCTACATTTTTACATTCGTTCGCTTTAAATGTCTTAAGAGCAGACACAGCGAGGGACTCTTCTGAGAGTCTATGGTTGAGTCCACTTTTCTTGTCTTGCTTAGCTTGACTGTGAGTGCTCTTTTCAATTTAAGGGTGGGGCACCTCAGGCCTCAGTATCTAATGCGAACCTCCATGGCTCCATTCACACTATGCATTTAAAGGACTATGATAGCACTTTGAACAGCCATAGCTTCCCTCAAAGAATTCTGGGGAATGTAGTTTGTTAAGGGTGCAGAGAGTTGATAGGAGGCCCCATGCCCCTCACAGTGCTACAATTCCCAGAGTGGTGGGCAATAATAATAATAATAATAATAATAATAATAAGCCCATCTGGCTGGGTTGCCCCAACCACTCTGGGGGGCTTCCAACAAACTGAAACATCAAACATAGTAAAACATCGCACATTTAAAACTATACAAGGCAGCCTTCAGATGTCTTCTGAAAATCAGAAAGTTGATTA